TATTCCTAGGAAGGCCACTATTCCTGAAGGGAAATGAAGGAGGTGTGGATCTAGGGGAGAGGGAAGGTGGGGGGTACTGGAAGGAGTGGAAGAAGGGGAAACTGTAGGTAGGATGTATTGCATTGGAGAAGAGAGAGAGAGAGAGAGAGAGAGAGAGAGAGAGAGAGAGAGAGAGAAAGTTCCTCAAAGCCATAAAAAAACAAGTGGTGAATCTCAAGTCTGAGCTTCCACCATCTGATTGCATATAAAACTTAGTTTTCTTTTTCATTTGTGTGTGTGTGTGTGTGTGTGTGTGTGTGTGTGTGTGCACCATGTAGCCCCTGTGGAGGTCAGAAGACAGCTCTATGTGTGGGTCCTCACCTTCTACCTTGTCTGAAACAAGATCTCTTGTTCTCCACTTCCTGGGACAAGCTAGGTGGCCTGCAGGCTTCTGGAGATTCTTTTGTCCCCAGTTCCCATCTCTCCACAAAAGTTTTGATATTACAGATACCCTAAGATTTTATGTGTATTCTGCAGAGTCAAACTCAAATCCTCCCACCTGTGTGGTGAGCCCTTTACCCACTGAACTATCCTTCCAGCTTCTTTGGTTGGGTCTCTTTCCATTCTAAGTGCTTGAAATGTACAGGTGTCCTGATAACAATCTCAGGGACTGTTTAATTCATGCTGAAATTCAAATTCAGCAGGATGCTTGGTACTAAAGATACTGATCTCGAGTGTTTAAGATGTTGCAGTGCATTGCTGATAAAAGTCCTGGAGATAATGGCATTGTGCATGACATTATTGTTTCTGGACTTTTCTACTTGGCACCACTTTAATAGTACAAGATTTAAGTCAACTTTCATGATTATGGACTTAGGTAATTACTAACAATAAAACACAATGCTCCAGGTGAGCTGGCTCAGCAGATAAAAGAGCATGCTACCAAGCCTGATGACCTGAGTTTGATCCCTGATACACATGTGGTGGGAGGAGGAACCGACTCCTCTTACCTGACCTCGAACCTATGAATGCACACACAATCAATTTAGTAAAAATGTTGAAAACCTGTCACTCAAAATTCGAGCATGCTCCCTCTCTGTCACAAGGTGAAGCCGAGTCTGAACATTCCTTTATCATCCTTTAATAAACCAAGAGCATGGGATGTAAGCTTCTTTTTCCACCACTGGAGTCTGCTTCTTCTGTATTGGTTTCCATGGAAATCAAAACAGATCAAAACCATCCACAGTGTTTCTCTTTGTAGATTTTCTATCCTTTTTGGATACCAGGAACTTGTGTCTATGGTCTAAGGGGAAATGCAGGTGTATGGACAATGGTGTCATAAACATTATCCTTATTCTCTTCAGTTTCCACTCTCTTCAGTCATCTTGGAGGGCACAGACCACATCATTACGACAAGAACAAGGGACTTTTTGACTGTTTTTGTTTGTTTGTTTGTCTTTGTTTTTGTTTTAAATTTGACTGTCTGTTTAAGAGTGATCCTCATGTTTTGAGTGGTTTCTGTTTAAGATAGCATAGTCCTGAGTCTGGGAGTTATTCTGGCTTTCCTCATGTTCGTTTCAACAGGACTCTAAGTCAGTCTGGTCTAATACTGCTTTAGATCTCTGAAGGATGAAGTGTGGTGGTTGATGCACCAGCCGCATGAGCACAGTATCCTTGCCTAGGGCATCTATGCTTCTGTGCTTTTTAATCCATTCCAGTGATCTCAACTGGGCAACAAGGACTTCCTCATACCCCAGCTTTCTAGCCTTAATCAAGTAATAAGGCCTTCCTTGAGTTTTCTAAACACCAATCTATATCCTTTTGATGTCTCTGAGTTGACGTCCTTTTAAGTGAAAGATGTCTTAACCCTCAACATTTTAGTCCAGTTGGGAGTCAAGAGACCTATATGTTAGGGTCTGAGATGTTGACTGTGATATAAGTCCATCAAGCACAGGTGTACAGGTTGTTTCTGAATGTGGCTCTGTGTTCACACAGAAGAAGGAACATATCATTCTCCATGCCAATATTCTGTAGGTCCGATGAGCCGTGTTCCCTGGGTATATGTTGATGTCAAGGTATTGTTTTTATGATTGTTGTAAAGTTGTACTAGGGAGGCCTCACTCTTTTTAATAAATTGAGGGAAAACTCATGTAATGTGAAAGAATCATTTAAATGTGAACAATAAAGTGACATTTAGTGCTTTGTGTATGTGTGTGTTGTGTGGTCTGCGTACACATGAGCGTGTGGGTAAATGTGTCTCCAGGGAGGCCAGATGGTGATATGAGGACTCTTCCTTTATCCTCTATCTTCCTCCTCCTCATTTTCCTCCTTCTCCTCTTCCTCTTTACCTTCTCTTCCTTGTTCTCCTCCTCCTCCTTCTCTTCTTCTACATGTTATTTCTCCTTCTTCTTCTTCTTCTTCTTCTTCTTCTTCTTCTTCTTCTTCTTCTTGTGTCTGGGTGTGTGCATATGTCATGAGGTGCGTGTAGTGGTAAGAGAACAATGCTGTGGCGTCTGTTCTTTCCTTCCTTCTTTATATGGGTTCTTGGGATATAACTTAGATGGCCAGATTTTCATGACAATGAACCATCTTTCTGGCTCCTCTATCTTATTGTCTGAGACAAGATCTCTCAGTGAATCTGAAGCTCTCCGTGTTAACTAGGCTGGATGGCTAGAATGCTCCTGGGATCCTCCTATCTAACTCCCTCAGAGCTGGGCTTACCAGAAGACAAGGCTTTTCATGTGGGTGCTGCGGTTTTGAACTCAGGTCCTCTTCCTTCTACAGCAAACACTCACCTACTGTTCTATCTTTTTAGCCTCATAGTGCATTTAATGTCTGAAGTCAAAAGTATTTTTTATTACTTAAGAAGAATGCCCTATAACCTTTAAGCAGTCATTTGCTCTATCCTGCTAATCATGACCTATAGCTCACCATGTTGATTCTATGACTAAAGATTCTTATCCCATGGAATAGAAGCTCCATTATGTATCTTCTGTCTCATGCTTGCTTTGCTCTAGAAGACTCTTTTGAGATTAGGGTAAGAATGGTGACAGGATGTGACCAATATTGTGTTCTGTATTCTGCCTCATGGGACTCGAGGGGATTGTATTAGGTACAAAAATGCAGATTGGTAGACTTCCTTTCATCATTCATCATACTTCCTTTCATCATTTTTCAAAGTACATATCTACGAACGCTAGATACAAGATGTTAACAAGTAAGATGAGAACAGCAAACATCCTGGCTTACTCAGTTTGGGCACGATGGGATAAGAGATGATCTTATTGCAGGACAACATGACCTTGTTAATGTTCTAAAGCAACTTCTTATAAAATCTTCAAGATGACAGTTGTTCTGGTTTGATTTGTCATTACTATGAGAAAACATTCTGACCAAGGGCAATGTATGGAAGGAAAGGGTTTTATTTCACTTTCTACTTCTAAGTCACTGTCCAGCACCGAGGGAAATAAGGTGCAGAAATTATGAAATGATGAAGCAAATTTGCTTAGGGTTAGCTCCTTGGCCTATGCCTAGCTAGTTTTATTTTCTCTTGGTCCTTGGCTGTTATTTTTTATTTAAGTAGTTTTAGATTTTGAAAATTTTTTATGTTCACATCATTTCTACCCACCGTTCCCTCCAACTTCTCTCATGTCCCCACCCCCTCTCAAATTCATAATTCCTTCTCTTAAGAATAAAATACCTCTTTCTGAGTTGAGTCTCTTTAGTGTTGCTGATATGCACATGTGTACATGCTGACCACTTGGGATTGGGTAACATAACAGCGAGCTGTCCATAGAGAAAAATAATTGTCTCTGTCAGGAGCCATTGATTGCTTATTACAGCTCTTCATCTGGGGTGAGAGCTTGAGAGTTTATCTAGAATCAATATCCATAATATACAAAGAACTCAAAAGACAAACAACCAAGAAATCAAAGGATGCAGTTAAAAATGGGCTATAGATCTAAACAGAGGGTTCTCAAAAATAGAATTTAAGCTAGCTAAGAAATATCTATCAAAGTATGCAACATCTGCAGAAATTAGGGAAATGCAAATGAAAACTACTTTGGTCTTTCATCTCACCCCACTCAGAGTGGCTAAGATCAAGAAAATAACTGATAAGTGCTGGTGAGGATGAAGGGAAAGAGATCCTTCATACATTATTGGTTGGATTTCCAACTGGTTCAGCTTGCTTTCTTACACAGCTCAGAACAACCTGCCTAGGGATGGTAGCGCCCATAGTGGGCTGAATTCTCTTACATCAATCAACAATTAATTCTTTGGACATGTATCTGCAGGCCAATCAGATCAAGACATTTCTTCAATTGAGGTTCCATCTTCCCAGGTGATTCTAGATTGCATGATGCTGACAATAGAAAATAACCAGGACAACAATAAAGCTTATAATATTATTAGATCATAGAGTGCTTTTCTTCTTTGGATGTCTGAGGATAATGGCAGCATGCTACTGTTTATTAGATGATCTACATATCTCTGTATGGAAGGGAAGTAACTCAGTTTCCAGATGAGAAATAGTTGCTCAGGCAAGTGAAGTGACTTACTCAGGGAGTCATGGATCATTGTAGCTGTGGCTAGACACATCTTTGGCTATTATTTTGCCAGCCAGGGTTTATGGTCTTTTGGTCTGCATTACACCTCAGTATCCCTTTGATGCTTGAAAGAATTATCTGTAGACTCCACATTTGAGTGACAAGAGGGGTTTGGCATTGCCTCAGACACCAAAATGACACAAACTTCCTCATTGTAAAACTGACTTTGGAACACAGGGGCCATTTTGTTCAGGTGTGTGTCTTAATCATTGTTATGTTTTGTGGTGATGTATTTCAGTTGCAGAAATAATGGGCCATTTAGGGAGAATCAAAGAAAGAGAATTATTAAAAGAACAACCATTGTTAAAGAAAAAAATTGTAGTGGCTTATTGAGATTTTGAAAGATTCTAATACTCAGTATTATTAAAAATATTTGGAAAAACAGAAAACATTGACAATAACATTTAACCATTGAAGAGACCAAATACGTTTTATTAAATACAAATCCCAATTGGCTATTGAAGTAGTTCTGGTAATATTTATAGTCATGAATGATACATCCCTCTTCACACTGTGGGCCTTTTGTCAGTGTTCAAGCTAACACAGACGCTGGCTCTTCCACCCCAAATGAATTTACCTCCTGGGAATTTATGTAGCCCTGGCAATAGCTAAGTTATCAATATTGAAATTTAGAAGATTTTTTTTTCAGGGTTCCAGTTGGTTTGTTTTGAAGTGTTGTCTTCTTAAAATGCTTGCCAGAAGGCTTTCAACAGCTGGGCTCAGAGCAGCTGGGTGGGCAGCAGTAGCAGCAGCAGGCTGGGCGGCAGCAGGACTGTCCACAGTAGGATGGACGGCAGCAGGAGGCCTGGGCATGGTGTAGCTGGCAGCAGGTTGGGGGTGTGCTGCTCACCACACAGCAGGGGGGCAGGCAGGTGCTCTCCACGCGGCAGTCAGGGCGGCACCACCTAACTCGGCAGCTCAGGGATCCACTGCCACCCTCCTGGCCACTGCCAATGCCACAGCAGCTAGGCTGGCAGCAGCTTGGCTGGCAGCAGCTGGTCTCACAACAGCTGGGCTGACAACAGCTGGAGCCACAGGTGCCACCTGTGGAGCAAGTGGGAAAGCCACAGAAGCTAGTAGCACAGCAGGCCATGGTGTCAGGCTTTGAGTTGAGAGCTGTGTGTTTGAGAGGAGTTTCTGAATTCTGTCTGCCTATTCCACCCAGAGCCTTTTATAAGCCTTGGCCAGTGGCTGTGCGACAGGTAACATTTTTGTCTTGTTACTCTTAAAACCAGACTTTCTGTGCTTCTGAGTTACTTTAAACATATCTGTAAGTGGGTGTGTCTTTGTTGCTCAGCTAATGCTCATCATATGTGTTCATCTGAGGTAGACACGTTAAATGCTTTAAGTCCAAACAGAGTTGTGATTTCCACTTGAGTCTTAGCCTCAGTTTTGTGTTTGTGGTCACAGCACCTGACAAAATGACTCTCATCGGAATTATAATTATGGGGGCATACTCACCAAATCTCAAGTATTCAAGAAAGTGTTGTTGACTCTGGGTTGGCCTTCAAGAAGACTGTCTTTATGCTTCTAGTTTTATTTTATTGGTAAGATCACAGTTTCTACATAGTTGCACAGAAAGTGATACATTACACATTAAGAGTTAGTCTTAGATTTCTCCATATATATATATATATATATATATATATATATATATATATATATATATGCTTTTACACTCAAGTCAGTAATATTTGAGGAAACATTCGTCAGTCAGGAGAGTATATGGAACAAATCCTGATGCACTCCAATTCAATTTAAAAGTAGGCTAAAATTTGGAATTAGTAAGTGAGGAAAATACTCACAAAACCTTCAAGTGAAGTTAATACTTCTTTATGTGAGTTAAAAATTAATGCTATGCAGATCATCTGGACAGTGTTCCTCAAAGTCAGGCTTTGATTTCATTTATGTCATTTTATGTTATTGTGCCATGTGCCCTGGCAGAAAGGGTACTGCATCAAAGAGGAGAACAAGCCAATTTATAAAGAAAAGCCAAGGAGACAAAATGCTATTTTCTTCTGCTTTACGTTTATAAGGGATATTGAAAAGTTATTGACACACACACACACACACACATACACACACACACACACACACACACATATATATATTTAAATTTTGTCATCATACAATGAGTTGAATTGTTATAAATAATTGTATACAAAACTGTATAAAGAATTTTAAACAAAAAATATCCACAATAAGTTGAATAACTGCCTGGTCGTACACCAAGTTCTACACAGACTCAAATAAATACAGGAAGTTTTGGAACTTAAAAAATAAAGGAAAATGGTTTATCAATATGTGCTAGTAGTTACAAATGCAAAAACTTAAGTTTAATCTTAGCAAACATTAAGTTAAAATAATTCCTGGTAGCCAACAGAAGGCAATGTGATATTTATTTTTGCTAAGTGTTTAGGGTTATGTGAGGAAAAACATGTAGTGATCAAAAGTTATTTTTGTTGCCTGTGGTGGGTTCACTGACCCCGTGCATGTGGATAGAAATACAAAGTTAGCTTTTAGGAGATGGGGATACTGTTGCAAACAGTGCTAAGACTACACTGGAATAGCATGTATTCCAGTTTTAATAAAGTTGTATACTGTCTGGTAGCGATGTCTACAGGCATGAAGTTGAAAATGGTTACATATAACCACTGAATAGTGCAAAGAAAAACTAATAAGTTATCTTTTTGACCACTTCTTATTTTAGATGCAGAAACCAATATGCTTTCAATAGAAGTATCACAAGCTTGCTTCAGTTTACTATGCACAGAACACTAAAGGAGTAGAATTGTCTGTCTCATTTTGCTTGGGCTCACAAAGCAGCTAGGTATCAATGGAGTTAAAGAAATGAATTAAATACGGAGTCATTCATTCTCAAAAATCCTAGACTGGAACATAGGTGTGCTGGTAGGAGTGACTTCTCACTTTCCCTCAGCATCAGTTGTTGGGAGAACACTGTGATCTGGGATCAGATATGTCCACAGAAGTTAAATGAGTGCCTGTACTCACATAGGGAAGAGCTGGCTTTGAAAATACAGATGTGGATTCTTGCAGCCAACCTTTGGACTGAGCATGGGGTCCCCATTGTAGGAGTTAGAGAAAAAAATGAAGGAGCTGAAGCGGTTTTCAACCCCATAGGAAGAACAACAATATTAACTAACCAGACTCCCCAGAGCTCCTAGAGACTAAACCACCAACCAAAGAGTATACATGGAGAGACCCATGGGTCCAGCAACACATGTAGCAGAGGATGGCCTTGTCTGGCATCAGTGGAAGGAGAAGCCTTTAGTCCTGTGAAGTCTCAATGCCCCAGTGTAGGGGAGTGCCAGGGTGGGGAGGCAGGAGTGGGTGGGTGGGGGAGCACCCTCATAGAAGCAGAGGAAGGGAGGGAGGATGGGATGGAGGTCTCCGGAGGGGAAACCAGAAAAGGGTATAACATTTGAAGTGTAAATAAATAAAATATCCAATTAAAAAAAGAAAAAAGAAAGTTCCCTCTCCTGTCCCTAGCTAGTTCTTTTTCTTTGCTAGCCTGCTGCTTTCCAGGTTTGGTGAGTATCAGTAAAACTCTTTTGTGCATTGCCTTTATTTTAAATAGACTTTAGCAGTTCAAAAATATAAACATGAGGTATTGCGTAGGATAAACTATGGAATAATAATGTGAAACATACAGAAAGACATGTGAATATGTTATAACCTCTTTAAGCATTTTTAGCCCAGAATTGAAATAAGTCACACCTACTTTCTAGTTGTTTCTTGTTTTTCACTTTGAATTTAATGGATCTTCTGGTTTTCTGTGTTTGTCATCTTCATTGTGGTTTTGTGTGAGTGTATGTGTGTGTGTGGTGTGTGTGTCTCTCTCTGTGTACATATGTGTTCAGGTTTTTGTGTATGTGCATGCATATGGGAGCCAAAACTCAACCTTGAGTGTCATCCTCAGGTGCTGTCTATTTTTTTGTTTTGAGATAGAGTCCCTCATGAGAACATGGGGTTTGCTGATAAGCTGTGTCTGCTCTCCGAACTGGAGGATTATAACCTGTACTGCCATGTCTGACTTTTTCCATGAGTCCTGGGGGTTGAACTTCTCTCCTCATTCTTGCAGGGCAAGCACTTTGCTGACTGAGTCATCTCCCTTTTGTCTTCATGAGAAACGTCATAGACTATTCCAGCACCAACTCCTATCATGCCGGGTACGGACCCAAGGCTTTAAACAGCTCCTTAGAGCTTACTTACCGACTCAGATGGCTGAAAGGCAAAGCATATTAATTCTCTAGATAGTCCTTCCTCTGTTGCTCTTCATATATCCAGTGCTCTAGTCTGATGTATAGATGGCCCTTGAGGTACTTCCCTCCCTCTGTACCTCTGGCCATACCATTTCCATGGATGAGAACACCACTTTCCTTCTAGTCTGGGCAGCAAAATTTTAGCTCATATAAGGTATTAACATTTTTCAAAATTACTTGTTCTTTCTAAACAATACTTAATCTTTGTGGATCCTATATGATATGTATACTTCTATTTCTCATATTCATTTATGTAATTGTGGCAAGGTAGATATGACTCATCTCCCCAGAGGCTTTTAATAAAAGAAACATTTTGAGCTGGAGAGATGACTCAGTGGTTAAGAGCACTGGCTTCTCTTCTAGAGGTCCTGAGTTCAATTCCCAACACTAACAGGGAAGATCATTAACTCCAGTTCTAGAGGATTCCATACCCCTTTACCACCTCTGAAAGGACCAGGCACATACATGGTGAAGAGACGTACACACAGGCAAAACAAATGAAATCAAATAGTAAAAGTAAATAAAGAAATAAATGAACATATTAAGTTTTTTTCCTTTATGATTATTATGTGTATAGACACATCTAAATACATAAATGCAGCTCCATGTTTTTCTCATGTGTATACATTTTAGAACTGACCACTTGATATTGGAGAACCAATTAGGGGGCTCACCCATGGGGAAGATTCATTCTCCCTCTCTCCATACTCATTAATTTCATACAGCCTTTCATTTAGGGGTGGGGCCTTGTGAGATTTTTGAGGGAAAAAAATTTAAAATCTCAATTGAATGTTTCTCATAGTGTGTGCCGTTTGAGACTTGCAGGTGGTAAGCAATTAGCATTTGTTGAGACCTAATTAAGAGAAGAGCATGAGTAAACAGACTCCCCTCTTCCAGGAGGTTGTCCATGTTCCAGTGGTTGGCCCTACACCCACACAAACAACGCAGCATTAGTTGGACTCAGTGGGATGAGAGAGGTATGAAGTTTAGAGGGTCATGGTTGTTGGGGAGGGGAGGAAGGCCTGGAAGGAGTGGAGGGGGGAGTGTGGAAGACAGATGTCATCAACATAAGTTATACATGTGTAGTGAATTCTTAAAGAATCAATTAAAAATGTTTTAAAAGGCACAAGTAAGAGCAATCAAAGCAATGGTTTGTGAGGCCCAAGAAGAGAAATTTATTTAAAAATAAATATGTTTCAAGACTTTAGACTCAAGATAGAAAGGACACAGACAACTATAAAGACTTGCACAAGTCTTCCGGGCCTCCATTCACAAGCTGGTAGATTTAGGGTATCAGTAGCTCAGGGCAGGAGTTTACAGGGAGAAACTGAAACATGGCTGTTTTCTAAAGGATGGCTCTTTCCCCAGGTGCTCAGCTCACTGCTCAGCAGCAGGTGTTGCAGGGGGAGGTCCTGCAGGTGGTGCGACA